CCCCTCCCCCAGACATCTGCCGCGTCCTGGTAGCTCCCCCTCCCCTCCCCGGAAGAGCATGATCGAGCCCGCCTCGCACCTGCTCAACCTGTCGCCCGACAAGCCGCCCTTGAGCTCGGACGCCATGGCGACGGCGTACGAATCCGAGGTGGAATTCGACTCGGACCTGGAGGCCGAGATTCTCAGCCGGATTTACCACCGACATGTGGCACCCACGGAGGACCCCAGCTCTTTGGTACCCGGGGCCGACGCCCCGGCTCCAGGGATCGAGCTTTTCTCCCAGCCGCCGGCCGACCACAGCTGGGCCGGCCAGGCCGGCCCGGTGCCCGGGGCCGACAACATCCCGACGGCCGGCTCGGCCGACTCGAGCTTCCTGCCATCCATGTGTCCGATTGTGCACGTTCGGTCGGCCCTGCTCGGTGGTCTGTCCTGCTCGGCGGACCTGTCCACGGCCATTGACGCCAATCCGGCCCCCAGCTCGGAAGCCGGCTCCCCGGAGGGCGTGGACTCCCCGGCCCTGAGCCCCGACCCGAGTGCCGATTCGGCGGCCACCTCCACCGATGAGGATTCCTCCTTTGAGCTGGACTCCCAGCTGGAGCTCGAAGACGACGAAGATCAAGAAGAGGAGGACGACTTCCTGGACTTGACCTTCTCGCCGGCCTCCGCACCGGCCTTCTCCCGGAAGCCTGTATGTCCCTGGCCCTGCCGGCGCCGCGCCCTTCCCTTTCCCTCGCCCCCGCTTGCCTCTTCCATGCGCTTCCTGCCTGGGGTCTCACCATCCGGAAACAACCCCCCTCCCCCCCCCCCCGCCCCCATAACTCGCCCCCTGCTGCAGCCCGCCAAGGCGCGCTACTTCATGCTCGAGCAGGATGAGCCCAATCCCAGGACCGGCGATCGCCGGCCCTCTTTCTCCATCGATGACCCTCTGTCCACGGCGACCATCGGTGAGACTGGCCTCTCCAAGAGCGAGTACCTGTCCAGTCTCAAGCGGCTGGCCGTGAAGGACGACGCGCCGGCCGCCGAGGCCGGGGCCGACACGACCCCCACCCCTGGGACTGGGACCCTGAATGGGCTCGGCGTGCCGGTGGCCTTTGCCAGCTTTGCCATGATCGTGTCTCTGGTTCGCGATATGGAGGCCGACCGTCTGGCCGAGGACGGTGCGCCGGAGGAGGAAAGCTTCCCGGACTACTATCCCCGGGCTCCGGAACGCCCGGATGGGCGGCTGTGCGTGCTCTGCGGCGTCCGTGGACACTGGATGCAACGCTGTCCGGAGGAGCGCTGCTTCGAGTGCTCGGGTGTCGGGCATCGGGCGCGCTTTTGTCCCCAGCGCACCGGTGGGCTGACAGCGCGCCGGGCCCATCGGTGCAGCCGGTGCAACGCGCTCGGCCACCAACACCACCAATGCCACACCATCTGGCGGGTGTACACCCCGTCGGAGCTGGCTGTCACCTCGGCGGCCAAGGCAACGGCCGCCCTGGCCGCCGGCCGGCCAGTTCCCCGGCGGGGCCTCATCATCCGGCGCTGGTGCTACCACTGCGGCGAGCGAGGGCACCTGGGCGATGACTGCACCCGGCGGTCCTTTGGTGGGATCTTCAGCTCGGGCTCCGGGCCCTCCGGAGCCGCATATCGGGACCTGTCTCCCGGTCCTCCGCCGCCCTCCTTCCGCCGGGTGGTCACGCCCTTTGGGTATGCGGCCCTGCAGGCGGCCGGCCTGTCTGGCATGCAGGGGGATTCCTTCACCCTGGGGGAGATCCCGGCTCCCAGGTCCTCCGAGGCATCGGGCACGCGGTCTCGCAGCACCTTCGCAGATAATCCCCCCCTGAAGACCTCGGGCACGGGTGCTGCTGCTGCTGCTGCTGCTGCCCCGACTCTCGGGGAGCTGCTGAATGCCGCGGTGTCGTCCAACCGCAAGCGGCCACGCCCGGCCGATCTATTGCCAGACCAAAATTGGCAGAAGAGCCCGGCCTCCAAGCATCGCCGGACCACTGCCCTCGCCAAGGGGGAGGACGACAAGAAGAAGAAGAAAAAGAAGAAGAAGGCCAAGGAGAGCAACGACGCCGATGTGGCAGCCCATCCGTCCTCCAAGCGCGGCAAGCATGCGTCCTCCAAGGATGAGGCCGCCTCTGCGGCCAGCAAGAAGAAGTCCTCTCGCCGCAGCTCCTCGCCCTCGTACTCTCGTGGCAGCAGCCGGAAGCGGGCGGCGTCCCACGTGGCCATCGACGCCAAAGCCTCCAAGTCGGCGGCGAAGGCCTCCAAACTGGCCAAGTCCAAGGCGTGAGATGTCCCTGTCGCCGCCAATGCGCCCATCATCATGGCTGGGGGGGGGGGGGGGGAGCCCGGCTGCGAGGGCCCCATGTAGATGGTGGTGGAGCCAGTTCCAGCGGCCAAAGGGATCTCTGACCCGACCGGGTCCCGGCAGAAGAAGAAAAAAAGGGCGCAGGTGCCCGCCGCAGAGCAGCAACATCGGGGGGGGGAGGGGGGGGGGGGGGGGGGGCAGAAGCACCACACCCTCAGGCAGGACAAATCTAGAGTCGAGCCTGCTCCCGTCCCGCCATTGATGCGCGCGCCATGTATGCGGCACTGCCTCCGCGCCTTTCGCTCTCCTGCTTCTCCTTCCCCCTTTGGGTGTTTGCGTCCTTGAGTTATCCTGTATTTTATCAATGCACCCACTGGCCGGGACCAATGTGTGTTCCCATTCTCGTATGCTGCCTCCCTTGCCTGCCCTTCCTCCCGGTGCCTTGGGGCCTTTGGTCTGTCGCACGAGCACGACTCGCCTGTCCCACCCCCCTATGGATACTTCTCAGCCCCCTGGGCCGGATAGCTTGGATGCCGGTGGTGTGGCTGTCGTGTATGCGCCCGCGTGAGGCATGAGCCAAAAAGAGGCGGGGGGGGGGGGGGGGGGATTAAAAAAAAGAACACGGGAACATGAGCGCAGAGGGCAGGGCACAAGCGGAGCAGTGACACGGGCCATGCATCACCCCTCCAACAATGGCAAGACGGTCGCCTGCCAGGACTCTTCCCAGGTGAGCAGCCGTGGCAGGCGGATGCTTTCGCCGGCCACCGCCCGGCCATAGCGCAGCTCCAGAGCCGCATCGGATAAGCGCCTCAGTCGGTCATCGGTACCCATCAAAGACTCGACACAGGTGGCCAACTGGGTTGCCAGATGCTCGCGCGCATGCGCAAGCCGCTGGAGCGGGTTTTCCTGGAGGCCGCCATGCGCCGGCTCCGTGAACGATGGCGCCGGCATGTCGGCAAATGGCCCGAGTCCAAGAGGCCAGGCAACCAGCCCAGCCATATGCCCGGGCCCCTGGCCGGACTCACCGGCAGCATCGGTCGCCGCCGGGTCGAACAGGCGCTCCGCCACGGCTGGGAAGCCGATCGACACGGCCGGCAACGCGGCGCCAGCCATGTCCACCAGCTTCATCGGATAATCCCGCCCGGAGGAGCTGACATGCATGCTCAGGCCGAAGTCCGCCGTGCCGAGCAGGGTCGCATACTGGTCAAAGGCCATCCAGGACGTGCAAACCACGGCCACATGCACCAGCGAAACCCGCGCCAGCGCCTCTACGAAGGGGCCCTGCAGCGGACCGCGGCCAGTCATGAAAAGAACCAAGCGACGGCGCTTGGCCGCCCCGCCGGGAGGAGTGGCCAGCTGTTGGTCCAGCAGCACAAGGCACCGCAGCAGCAGGCCCATATCCTCATCGGGTGTCCAGCTGGATGAGCTCACCGCAATCAATGGCCGGCCCTGGCGCTCTTGCACCACACCAGCCGGGGTGCGCACAGTCCAGAGGGTTGCCTCGGGGGGGCAATCGCGGGCCCACGCATGGCGGCCAAGGTGTTCGGCCTGCAGGCTGGCCAGGAGCCCATGTGCCCGGAGCATGCGCTGCCGGTGCATGGGACACGCGCCTTGGGGGCCTCCGGCCGCACGGTCGCAGGCCCCTTCGCAGCATGTGTGCAGGCTGTGCCACCAAACCCGACCGAATGTGACCCCGGGCCAATCATACAGGACGTGGATCGGGCCGGCCGGCCGGCCAAGAGCCGCACCCAGGTCCCGGGCCATGCTTTCCGTCACGGCCAAGTGGCGGTCCCCGGCCCAGCGGCCAAACTGCCGCTCAACATACCTCGCCAATACTATGAGGCGACTTTCGCCCGTCCGACGAGTGGTGGCCACCGCCGTCGTCAACGACCCATCGGCCGTCGGTCGACCCATCAAGGTGAAGGCATAGTTGTGCCAGTCGACCAGCATGCGCGTGGGCGCCCGGTCTGGAAGCCCGGCAAGGCTCCTGGCCACTCGGCGAAGACGCAGCACCATGCGCGCAGCGGCCAGCGCCATGAGCGTCGGAATGGCCGGAGGGGTTTGAACCACCACGGCCTCTAGGTGCTGGAGGCTGAAGCACAGCAGCCACACGATCATTAGCCACTGGCCGGCCAGGCGCCGAAGAGCACGCCAAGCAAGAGCCACGGGATGGGCCGGGCCTTGGCCAAGCAGCCGGGACCCCGGACGCTGAAGGGGCACCAATCGCACACACTGGTGCCTGGCCAGACCCGCCGGAAGGAGTGCCTCTCGGCCGGCCTGCTGGGCGGATGCCTGTCGCGCGCAAGCCAGGTCCCAGGGAGCGTGCTTGCAGCCGACAGCCGGACACTGAGCGCCAGGGATAGGAGCGGGCGAGAGGAGCTTTCCCCGCAACGCATCGGACGTGTAACCAATCAGGAAGACCGGTGCCCGGGCCGAAGTGTGGGCGGCCAGGTGCTCGGCCCGCCGGGCCAGGGATTCCGCATGCAAGCACATGCGCGGACTGCGGTCGATGTCCCCGAGGACCAGGACCGCCGTGCCGGCAGCCCGGAGGCCAGGTGGAGAGGAGGCCATCTGGCGGTTCAACCCACGTGGAGGCGGTGAGGCGAGGATGAGGAGAAGGCAATGACAGTGTCGGCAAGCAAGGAAGAGTCACAAGTAAGGGGCCTCCCGTTCGGCAAGGGGGCCGAAATCCACCAGTATGGTCTACGGATCAGGCCCCGGGCCTGCCC